GGAGTTACTCATGCTAAAGTTTCATGTCACCAGATGGAAACTAAGTGTTTAATTCCCAGTGCAGTTTGGCTGGCATGGTAAAGACATCCTCTGCGCTAGGCATTATGGTGCAGGCCTGTAATCCCAGACTCTGTGGTTAAGAGCCCTGGGTTCAATCCCTGGTACCAATAAAATAAACTAAAAGACATCCTTCTGCTTTACTATTTACAAGGATAGGAATCTAAATAACCTAATGGTAACCAATTTGTGTGTGTGTGTGTGTGTGTGTATTACTGGTAATTGAACCCAGGGAAGTTTAACCACTGAGCCACATCCCCATCCTTTTTTTTTTTTAGTTGTTGAAAGAACTCTAGGGCTGGGATTGTGGCTCAGTGGTGGAGCGCTCGCCTAGCACGGGCAGGACCCAGGTTTGATCCTCAGCACCACATAAAAAATAAAAAGCATTGTATTGTGTCCATCTACACCTAAAAAATAAATATTAAAAAAACTCTATTTTTATTCATTTGTGTGTGGTGCAGAGAATTGAACCCAGTACCTCACACATGCTAGGCAAGTGCTCTACCAATGAGCTACAACCCCAGCCCAAGCCCCAGCCCTTTTTATGTTTCATTTATTTATTTATTTGTGTGTGTGGGGGCACTACCAGGGATGTTTTTTATGTTTTATTTTGAGACAGGGTCTCCCTAAGTTGCTGAGCCTGGCCTTGAACTCGCAATCCTCCTCTCACTTCTCTGATTTGCTGATATTATAGGTGTGTATCACTGCACCGAGCTAGATCTTTAAATTAAATTTGTTGTTATTCTGTCTTTTGGCAATTCAAAAAATTTCATTTTTAGCAAGATGAAAAGATTCTGGAGATTAGTTGCACAATGATGGATGTGAATATCCTTAACAGTACTCAACTGTGCACTTAGAAATGATTAAGATGGTACATTTTATGTGTGTTCAAAAGAAAACTATCCTGAAACCTAGTGGCTTGGAATAACAACGATTATTTTAATATCCCTCACAGTACCTGTGGGCCAGAAATTCAGGAAGGGCTCAGCTGGCTGGTTCTGGCATAGGACATCTCATGGGGTTGCAGAACACATGTCTAGAAAAAAAATTGCGGATGGTTGAAGAATTGGGGGCTGGGTAGGCATCTATCTGTGTTCAGGCTGGCTTCTCCCTTCACCATGGCCGCAGGGCAGTTGGACTGCTTCTCTGGCAACTTAGAGTCAAACTCAAGAGTTTCCACAGCAGGTGGAAGTGAATTTCCACTTTGATGACTGAGCTCAGAATTTAAGTAATGTCTCTCTGTCATGTTCTTATGGTCAAAATTGTCATCAAAGGCCTGTAATCCCATCCACTAGAGAGGCCAAGGCAGGAGGATTGCAAGTCTGAAGTCAGCCTCACCAATTCAGCAAGACCCTTTCTCAAAATAAAAAAATTAAAAGGGCTAAGGATGTGTGGTTCAATGGTAAAGTGCCCCTAGGTTGAATTCCCCAGTACCAAGAAAAAAAAAAGAATAAGCCAATGAATACTTGCCAGACATGTGTGAGCCATCTAAGAAGGGGATCAGTCAGCCCAAGTCAAAGGATAAACTCAGCCCCAGATGACACTTGACTAAATCCTCATGAGAGACCCTAAACCAGAACTGCCCAGCCAGGTTGCTCCTGAACTCCTGATCTACAAAAACTATAAGACATAATAAATGTTTATTTATTTTATTTGTTTGGGTACCAGGGATGGAACCCAGGAGTCTTGATCACTAAGTCACATCCCCAGCCCTTTTTATTTTTATTTTGAGAGAGGATCTCACTAAATTGCTTAGGGTGTCCTCGAATGACAGAGGCGCTCAACCACTGAGCCACATCCCCAGCTCGATTTTATATTTTATTTAGAGATAGGGTCTCACTGAGTGGCTCCTAGTGCCTCGCCCTTGTTGAGGCTGGCTTTAAACTAGTGATGCTGATCCTCCCATCTCAGCCTCCCTAGCTGCTGGGATTAAAGGCCTGTGCCACCAAAGGGCCCCAATAAATGTTTATTTTTTAAAGTCCCTACTTTGGTCTTGTTTGTTTTTGGTGCTGGGGATTGAACTCTGGGGGCACTCTACCATTGTGTTACTTCCCCAGCCCTTTGTGTTTTTTATTTTGAGACAGGGTCTTGCTAAATTGCTGAGGCTGACCTTAATTTTTGATCTTCCTGTGCCACTATGCCTGGTTCAAGTCCCTACATTTCCACAAAATTTGTTCCAGGGCAATAATCAATAATGCAGTCATTGGGGGTGGGGATGTGGCTCAAGCAGTAGCGTGCTCGCCTGGCATGCGTGCAGCCCGGGTTAGATCCTCAGCACCACATACAAACAAAGATGTTGTGTCCGCCGAAAACTAAGAAATAAATATTCTCTCTCTCTCTTTAAAAAAAAATAAAAATAAAAAAATAATGCAGTCATTGAACAGATTTTTTAAAATTTTTTTTTTAATATTTATTTTTTAGTTTTTTGGCGGACACAACATCTTTGTTTGTATGTGGTGCTGAGGATCGAACCCAGGCCGCACGCATGCCAGGTGAGCACGCTACCGTTTGAGCCACATCCCCAGCCCTGAACAGATTTTTGCATGAATGTTTTTGCCAATTTTTTTTTCTAGTGCTGGCGACTGAACTTAGTATATCATGTATATTAGGCAAGTGCTCTACCATGGAGTTGTAAATTCAGCTCCAACTATTTTTTTAGGGGGTTACTGGGGATTGAACTAAGGGGCACTTGACCACTGAGCCACATCCCCAGCCCTATTTTGTATTTTATTTAGAGACAGGGTCTCACTGAGTTGCTCAGTGCCTTGCTTTTGCTGAGGGTGGCTTTGGACTTGCCATCCTCCTGCCTCAGCCTCCTAAGATGCTGGAATTATAGGCGTGCACCACCACACCTGGCTTCAGTCCCCCAAATTTTTAAAAACAAAATATGGCCTTGGATGGATTGCCACTGCCATCTTGAGTTTCCAAGTTCTCGTCTGTACAAGGGGAAGAAATATCCACTATAAGTTCCTTGTTTAGTGGGGCTGGGGATAAAGTTCAGTTGGTAGAGTGCTTGCCTTGTATGCACAAGGCCCTGGGTTTGATCCCCAGCAACCCCTCCCCCCCAAAAAAAAGGTCCTTGTAGCATCTAGATGGCCATCTTAAGTGACAGCTGCCATTTTAAGGAAAAAGTTTCCCTTTCCCACCTACGGGCATTTCTGAGAACGGCTCATCACTCCCTCCTACCAACCCAACCTTAACCGCCCCCATTAGGACCCACTTGGCTCTGATTCCTGAGCCTGCCCCATAAAAGTCCCAGAACCCAAGCCTGTTTCGCCTCTCTCCCATAGAGAAATGGTCTTTATTGGTCAGCTTTGACAAATAAATTCTCGTGTGTATCTCTGCCTGGTCTCCGTCTTTCATTTCTCGTCCCTCATTCCTCCACCTTTGAGGTTCACAGAGTATGTGCCTTAGTGGGCAAAATCAGGACACAGTAGGAGCTTAATATACCACACAGCAGTGTAAATTCCTCAGGAAGCACAAGGGTTAAATGCTCTGAAGCCTGGGCTTGAATCCCAGTTATGAGACTTTGTTTTGGCTACTTACCTTTTCTGGACTTCAGACTACTCAGCTATGAAATTGGAATAAAATTCTATGTATTCTATACTGAGTGAGGTGGCACATGCCTGTAATCCCAGCAATTTGTGAGCCTGAGGCAGGAGGATCACAAATTGGAGGCTAGCCTCAGCAATTTAGTGAGGTCTTGAGCAACTTAATGAGACCCTATCTCAAAATAAAAAGCAAAAAGGGTTGAGGATGTAGCTTTGTGGTAAAGTACTCCTGTTCAGTCCCTAGTTAAACAAACAAAAATTCTTCCTGGTGCAGTGGCACATGCCTGTAATCCTAGTGATTTGAGAGGCTGAGGCAGGAGAATTGTGAGTTCAAAGCCAGCCTCAGCAATTCAAAGTCAGCCTCAGCCACAGTGAGGTGCTAAGCAACTCAGTGAGACCCTGTCTCTAAACAAAATACAAAATAGGGCTGGGGGTGTGGCTCAGTGGTTGAGTGCCCCTGAGTTCAATCCCTTGTACCCACCCTCCCCAAAATTCTAATATTTATAAAGATTACATAGATTACAAAAGCCATTCTAGGGCTGGGGATGTAGCTCAGTGGAAGAGTGCTTGCCTAGCATGTGTGAGTTACTGGCTTCCATCCTTAGCACTGCATAAAAATAAACAAATAAAATAAAGGCATTCTGTCCATCTACATCTAAATAAATAAATAAATAAATGAAAACATTCTAACTTGATGAGGGGCATCTGTTTTACTGCCTCGTTCGTTCACTGCTATATATGTTGGACAGAGATTAGTGACTGACCCCATAACAGGTCCTGAATAAGTATTTACCTAAATAATAAAAGGGCATCCTGCCTAAGGAAAATACACCCTATCTGTAAAACCACTTACATAGCATTTACATTGCATTATGTGTAATAAGTAATCTGGAGTTATTTAAAATACACTGGAGGATGTGGGTAGATTATATGCAAACACTAGCTCATTTTATATAAGGGATTTGAGTATCTGCAGATTTTGGTATGTGCATGAAGTGCGGGAAGTAATCTCCCACCCATACCCAGGGAAGACTGTATTTTTCTTTAGGTTGTTCTAATAGAGGGCAAAGTTCTACACTTTGTCTATTTTATTCACCACTTTATTTCACAATACCTACAACACTGGGGTTTCTGTGGACGTTACAGAACGGACTCAAAATTGTCCTCCTTGATCCATAAGTATTTGCACAATTGGACAGCTTCATAAATAACCACGTGGACCTCTCCGTGGGGCCATGAGGCCCGCCATTATTTTGGCCAGGAGGGGTCGGAGTCTCCGTCACGTGACTGCCACTCGCCGGTCTGCCTCGGAGGCTGTGGAGGTCCACGTGGTCCCAGCCTCGGCGGAGGAGGTACTGCGCAGGCGCGATCCCACGGCGCAGGCGCAGACTCGGCTCAGGCGCGCGGCCAGCGGCGGTTGGCTGCTCGCGGGTCGGCGGGCGGTTGGCGAGAGCCGGACCTGAGCTGCAGCTGCTAGAACCGGCGCCATGGTGGAGAAGGAGGAGGCTGGCGGCGGCATCAGTGAGGAGGAGGCGGCGCAGTATGATCGGCAGATCCGCCTGTGGGGATTAGAGGCTCAGAAACGGTCAGGGCCGCTGCGGCTGGAGGCGCCGAGGGTCTGGAGGCGGCGTCCGGTGGGAGGTGTTCCCGGCCGGGAGGGAGCGCGTGCCGCTTTGAAGAGGGAGGGCGGGGTTTACGTGCGTGGGCGGGGGAGCGCTCCCGAGACCCCTGCGGGCGTCGTTTGGTGGTGTTTCTGGAAGGTGTGTGGCCGCGAGATCCCCGAGTGGCTGTTCGGAGGAATCGGAGACTTCTGTAGGGGGCGTGGGGAGGTCTTCAGGGAGCTGGATTGGCACTCCGGGAATCGGGCGTCCGGAAGGGGTACGGTGGGCCTTGGCTCGCAGCGGGGGCTTAAGGACCAGAGGGGTCGGGGGTGTGCGGACTGGGTGAAGGGGGCGTAGTTCATTCATTCATGGGAGGGAACCTGTGCCTTTGCTCGGCTGGGGGCGCCTTGGCAAGCGGAGCTGAGGGGAGCTTAGGTTCCCGGGGCTCCTCAGGAGCGGGCCGGTCTGAAAGAGTGCCCGTTTTGACGCAAGTTCTCTCAAATGGGAGCCTAGAGAGGGCTTGCAGGTGCCAGAGGTGGTTACTGGTGTCTAGGTGTGACGTGGTCCAGAGCAGACGGGGGGTGGTTGGTTGGAGTGAGACCTCTGCAGAAGGTCGTCGATTCAATCAAATATTTGCTGAGCGCTCGACGTAGGCACTATTCTGTTCCCTGAGCACATCTCAGTGAACTAAACGGGCTCCTTCCTACATGGAGCTTTTACTTATTTATCTATTTGGTACGCGGGCTCGAACTCAGGGGCTCTTAACCACTGAGCCCGTCCCCAGCCCTTATACTTATTTTGAAGCAGGGTTTCGCTAAGGTGCTTAGGGTCTTAACTACATTGCTGAGGCTGGCCTAGAATTCGAGACTCTCCTGCCTCAGCCTCCCGAGTTGTTGGGATTGCAGGGTGTGCCACCGTGCCTGGTTGGAAGAAGTGTTTTGATAGGGTGGCCAGGGAAGGCCTATGAAAGGCAGGATGTAAGCCTCAGACTTGTGTGACGGGAAAGAGCCGTATTTGCCCCTGGAAGGGGTGATGGTGGGAAGAGCCTTGCTAGCATGGAAAACAGCAGTCCTCAGGCTTGAACATTGCTTGGCAGATTAGAGAAATAGGGTGACTGGAGCCAAAAGTGTTAAGTAGCTTTTATTCTGAGTTTGCTGGGAAACCTGTTGGAGCGTTTTTTTGAGTGGGAGTAATATGATCTATTGTGTATTTTAAAAGGATTACTCTTTGTGGAGAAAAGGTTAAGGAAGGCAGAAGTGGAATTAAAAGATTCCTGTTAGACTGTGGCAATAATCCAGTTAAGAAAAAAAAAAAAATTGATGCCTGAAACTCTTGAAGGGGTCAGGTATATATTCTGGATATATTTTGAAGGTAAGGGAGGTGTTTGAAGGATTAATCGAGGGGAGAAGGAGAGGCAAAAGTCAAGGATGACTCTAGTGTTTTTGGTCTGAGAACTGGAATGATGGAATTGTGGGGGAAACTAGGCTTCTTGGGGTCAGGGAAGCACCTTTTCTCTTTTGAATTTATGTTTGGGTGCTTGTTATACTGTAGCAGTACATGAGTGGTTGAGTTCAGAGGTGAGGTAGAAGTGATAGGTTATGTGATGTGAGTACAGAGAGTATAGAAGTGAGGTGAGGGATTGGGGAGGCACATAGGTCAGTAGAATTTAGTTTGAGGAGGGTGTACCTTTCAGAAGTGTTTGGTTAAAAAGTTTAATGTGGGGGGTTGGGAGTGAAATGGGAATTACCTCAGGCTTATTTTAGATGTGTGGGGTCTTCTGTGATGGATGAGAACATAATCATCGTAAAACATTAGTGTCACTGGTCAGAGGATTAAAGGCACCTGAAATAGAAGGTTGAGAAATAACTGAGAAGAAAGTGCCTTAAACATAGGTGGTCTTGATTGATTTTTAAGGAATGCTAGTCTCTAAAAGGGGTGGAAGGAGAACTTTTAGTTGGAGGAAACGTTTTTTTTTTTAATATTTATTTTTTAGTTTTTAGGTTGATATAATATCTTTATTTTATATTTATGTGGTGCTGAGGACAGAACACAGTGCCTCAGAGTACTAGGCGAGCACTCTACCACTGAGCCACAACCCCAGCCCCTGGAAGAAACTTTGAGGACATAACCCATTAAATCTATCTGGATTTGAACCAGAGACGCTTTACCACTGAAGTACATCCCTGGCCCTTTTTATTTTTTATTTTGAAACTGTCTTGCTAAGTTATCCAGGCTGGCCTCAAACTTGTATTTCTTCTGACTCAGCCTCCCTGGTCATCAGGTTTACAGGTGTGTGCTGCGATACCCAGATCAGTTGATGGGTTGATTGAATTTGGGGTACTGGGGATTTCTACCAGGGGCAATTTTGCACTGATCTATTCCCAGTCCCCCCATTTTTACTTCATATTAAAGAAATTTATTGTAAAATATGGTTTGCTTATAATATAGAACTTTTTTTTTTTTTTGAGACAGGGTCTCATTAAGTTGCTGAGGCTGGCCTTGAAGTTGCAGTCCTCCTGTTTCAACCTCTTGAGTTGCTGGGATTACAGGCATGTACTGCATGCACCTATTATATTTTTGATATAGATTTCCCTAAGTTGTCAAGGCCGACCTTGAATTTGGCAATCTCTGGCCTCAGCCTCCCGAGTAGGTGGCATTAAGAGATATTTTAGGGGCTGGGGATGTGGCTCAAGCGGTAGCGCGCTCGCCTGGCATGCGTGCGGCCCGGGTTCGATCTTCAGCACCACATACAAACAAAGATGTTGTATCCGCTGAAAACTACAAAATAAATATTAAAAAATTAAAAAAAAAAAAAAAAGAGATATTTTAAATTTTTAGGAGAAGTTAGGGGAAAAAATATCCTCTCAAAATTTGGAGGTTTCTGGAGAACTGGGGTTGTGGCTCAGCAGTAGAGTGCTTGCCTAGCACATGCGAAGCTCTGGGTTCGATCCTCAGCACCACATAAAATTAAATAAAAATAAAGGTATTGTGTCCAAATACAACTTAAAAAAAAAAGTTGGAGGTTTCTGAATTCAGTGTTCCCCTGGAAAATAGAAATGTCATACATCTCCATCAGTTGGAGTTAGGTAGAGGCACCTTTTTACACAGGGCATGTGTTTGCTAATTTGTCAGCGACTCCATCAGTTCAACATCATTGGAAGTGTTAGCCTGGCTGTTGTAAACAGGTGAGTTTGCAAGTGTTGCCTAGGTGCATAGCCCATTTCACTGATGGTTTAAGGAAGGGAGCCAACTTGCCCAAGGTCACATACCAAGTAAGTGGAAGAACTATTAACGTGAGTTTGTCTCTTAAGTCACTGCTATTATCATGACAATTCATTTTCTTCAACACTGGCAAGCAAAGAGTTGTGTATCTTCTCAGAATATATGTTCTCACAATTTTTGAACTGGCGGTCACAATAAGACATGTCTGAGTCAGCATATTTAAGAGTGAGGAATGGAAGGTGACTGGAAAGAGAAGTAGATTATATGCATCAAGAGGACAGTTGTTGAGTGGATGAGATGGTAGCATACTGTAGAGGCTTAGAAGATCAGAAAACCTGGGTTCAAGTCCTCTCTTATAACAAGCTCTTTGACCTTCAGCTTTTGGTCTTAGGTTCCACATCTGCAAAATGGAGGAAAGAGTGTGTTACTAAATCTTTTTTTCTTTTTTTCCTCTTTCTGGCCAAGGCTATCCTTGAATCTGTGATCCTCCCGTCTTGAGCTTCCTAAATTGCTTGTATTATAGGTATATGCCACCATGCCTGGCTTTTTACATATTTTGTGCATAATTTTTGTAGGATTGATTCCCAGAAGGGGAATTGCTACATGAGAGAGCATGAATCATAATAACTGATATTCATTAAGTGGTGACTATGTGCCAGGTATTGTTTTAAGCACTTTTCATATAATCGAGCCATAAATAAGCTGTAGTCACAGGGGCGGGCCCTAGCATGGTTAAAGATTAAACACATAAATATGAGTTTTATTGTTGACAGCAGTTGAATTAAAAAGCAAAACAACTCCAGAGAAGTTGGTTTGTGGAGCCATATAGGAATGTAGGCTTTGGAAATGCTATGTGGCTACATGAGATGTGTTGTCAGAGGCATTTAAAAACATTCTTTGCTGGAAAAGTTCAGGAGAGGATGCTCACCCCACTCAGCCATAATTAGAAAGGACTTTTGGAGAAAATGACATTCAAGTTGGGTTTTGAAGTCTTGGGAAAAGCTGGACTAGTTAGAGGAAGACAGCATGCATTTCAGGAGTGTGGAATGTGATTTAAAGTCTGAACATGGGCACACACCTCTAATCCCAGCTGCTTGGGAGGCTGAGATGGGGGGATTGTACGTTCAAGGCCAGCCTGGGCAACATGGTGAAACCCTGTCTCAAGAAAAGGAAAGAACATAAAGCCTGAAGGTGGAAAACTGGAGGCATGCCTGGGAGTGAGTAATGTAGAAATAGTAGGAAATAAGGGTGGTAGGATAGAGCCAATACTAAGTGGCTTTAAATGCCAGCTTTAGTTTTTAGTGTTTTTTTTTCTTTTTTCCTGTCAAATTTTTAAAAATCTGGACCCTTTTATGTAAGTAAGGCAATGGATCCTGAGAAGAGGTTATTATATTCACGTAACTTGTGCATGTGTTATATATGTCAGGTAAGGATGCTTTGGCACTCACATTTACAGGTTGTCAATGGAATTAAATGACATGAATTGAGAATTAGTAACCCCATTTTACTGATTGTATAGTTTTCTGGGTCACCCAGTTAGGTAGTGGCAAATCCAGAATTCAAACTCCTGTTTTCACACTCAGAGGACATTAATGATTGGAAGTGCCCATTGCTGAAAAAACACTAGGGGAAACAAGAGCCTGAGGGGGAAAAATTAGTGGATTTGGAGATTAGGAAGCCATAGGTAAAGTTTGTAACTACAGATTCCCACTGGAAAGGTGGATCATTGGTAACTATTTTTTTTAAATATATTATTTTAGTTGTAGATGGGCACAGTACGTTTATTTATTTTTATGTGGTGCCAGGGATTGAACCCAGTGCTTCATGCATGCTTTGCAAGTGTTCTACCACTGAGCCACAACCCCCGCCCATGCTAACTATTTTTGAGATACCAAAGTGCCAAATAGGACAAGATCCAGTCACTCAGCCTGAAAGGGAACTTGGAAGCTACAACTTAAGGTGCGCCGTGGCAGGGTCAGCTGAGCTAGTATGTCTTATCTGTGATCTGGAGGGTTCAACTAAATCCAGAGGTTGTAATTAATCTTTCTGATGTCAATTTTTTTTTTTTTTCTTATACTGGGGATGGAACCAGGGGTACTCTACTACTGAGCTACATCTCTAGCTTTTGATTTTTTAAAAAATTTTTAGTTGTCGATGGACACCGTAATTTTATTTATTTATATGTGGTGCTGAGGATTGAACCCAGTGTCTCACACGTGGTAGGCAAGCGCTCTTCCACTGTAATACAACCCCAGCCCCACACTTTTGATTTTGATACAAGATCTTACTAAATTGCTGAGGCTGGCCTTAAACTTGTTGGGAGTTGCTGGGATTACAGGTGTGCTGCACTCATCAGGCTTCAGCTACTGCTTTTATTAGACTCCTAGTTAATTGCATGCAGGTGTCTAAAATTATTGGAGTCATTTTCGCAAAAAAACTTTCACATGTTTTCCCCAATATACTGGTACTTTTAGAGAATTGACTTTTTATATAAATCAGTAGTAAACTCATTGGCCAATAGCAGTCAAGTTTAATTTTGTTACTGGGGATGGAACCCAGGGTCACTTGACCACTGAATTACATCCCCATCTCCAGCCCACCCACCTTTTTTTTTTTAATATTTATTTTTTAGTTGTAGTTGGTCACAGTATCTTTATTTATTTTTATGTGATGCTGAGGATCAAACCCAGGGCCTCGCAGGTGCTAGGCGAGTGCTCTACGGCTAAGCCACAATCCCAGCCCCTGACCCATCTTTTTTTAAATTGTTTAATTTTTTAAAATTGGAGTCTTGTTAATTTGCTTGTAGCCTCCCTAAGTTGCTGAGGCTAGCCTTGAACTTGTGGTCCTCTTGCTTCAGCCTATTGAGTTGCTGGGAATATAGGTATATGACAAGAAGTTGAGTTTGAGACTATTCTAAATTCTTCTTTCCAACCCTCAACCCTCATTCTTGGGATTGGATCCAGTGGCTCTCTAGTGCTGACCTATATCCCCATCCATTTTTATTTTTGAGACAGAGTCTTGCTTAGTGGTCAAGGCTGGCCTCAAATTTGTGATACTCCTGCTTCAGCTTCCTGAGTTACTGGGATTGTAGGTATACACCATTGTGCCCGGCAGCTGGAAAGGGTTTTTTAAAAAAATTCTCCATCATGCTTGATTTTTGTCACTTTTTTTTATATTTATTTTTTAGTTTTAGGTAGTCACAATATCTTTTTTTTTTTTTTTAAAAAAAAGAGAAAGAGAGAGAGAGAGAGAATTTTTTTTTTTTTTAAAAAATATTTATTTTTTAGTTTTCGGCGGACACAACATCTTTGTTTGTATGTGGTGCTGAGGATTGAACCCGGGGCCGCACGCATGCCAGGCGAGCGCGCTACCGTTTGAGCCACATCCCTAGCCCTTTTTTTTTTTTTTTAATGTGATGCCTCATGCATGCTCGGTAAGCACTCTTAACACTGAGCCACAACCCCAGCCCAGTTTTTGTCACTTTTTGATATATTATGTATTTGTTTATCTAACTCCTCCTCCAGGAAGCAAGAATTTTCTTATTCACACTATGTTTCCAAATTCTCTGTGCCTGGCATAGTAAGTGCTCAATAAATATTTCTTTCTTTCTTTTTTTTAACTTTTTATTCTATCACCAATAGAGTAATTAGCAATTCTTTTGAATGAATTTTTCTATGCAGGATGGGTTGGAACCTGTGTGTTTTCTATATTTGAGGCTGTGGAACTATGGTGTATTTAATTAGAATCAAAATTACTTCCCTGTATTTTGTTCTATGATTCGTAATCTCCTCTCTTCTATATCAGGAGGTTAACAGTTTCTGCTTTACAGGCTGCGGGCCTCCCGGGTGCTTCTTGTTGGCATGAAAGGACTCGGGGCTGAAATTGCCAAGAATCTCATTCTGGCAGGAGTTAAAGGACTGACCATGCTGGATCATGAACAGGTACGCTGTTATCACCTTATAACTGCCCTTTTGTATCTATCCTCTTCAGTATGAAGATTTTATGAATGCCTATATATGTTGTGAAAGGATGGGTAGTGTTAGTGGAACTCTAGTCTTTGGAAACTGAAGGTACTAGTGCTGGGTTTGAATTCTAGATCCACCCAGAGGAGATAGATTACCTCACTGAGCCTGCCATCTGTAAAATGGAGTTAATAGCATTTCCCTTGGAGGAATAGAGAAGTAGTTTTCCAATCTATGCCTAAAAACCACCTGGATAACTAAATGAAGTTGCCTGGAGCCTTTGTGGTAGTATAAAGCTTTTACCCTCAGTGATTCTGGTTTAGAAGATCTTGGATAAGGCTCAGGAACATATACATTTAAAGATGTCTGAGAGCTGGGAGTTTTGGTGCACACCTGTAACCCTAGTGTTTGGGAAGCTGAGGCAGAAGGATTGCAAGTTTGAGGCCAATTTCAGCTGTCTGGAAATAAAAAATTTTAGAAAGTGGGGGCTTGGGGATGTAGCTCAGAGGTAGAGTGCTTGCCCAACATGAGTAAGGCCCTCGGTTCAATCCGTAGGACTGGGGAAAAAAAAAAAAAGAAAAAAGAGAGAAACAAATAGGGAGAGCCGTGGATGTAGCTCAGTGTAGAGTGTCCCTGAGTTCAATCCCCATTCCACCCCCCCCCAAAAAAAAAAAAAGAAAGAAAGAAATAAAAGACAGATGGGTCAGGAGATTTTGTTGTAGAATCTCCACAAATATTACTTTGAAAAACATACTAGTCGGGTGAGGTGGTACATGCCTGTAATCTAAGGCAGGAGGATCACAGGTCAAGGCCAACCTTAGCAACTTAGTGATGACCCTGTCTCAAAATAGAAGGAACTGGAAATGTAGCTCAGAGGTAAACCACCCCGGGTTCAATTTTCAGTACCAAAGGGGAAAAAAGCAAAAAAGAAAAACATCGAATCAGAGCAAATATATGTGGGTTGTTTAGCAGAGATACACAGTAAGCATCTAATAAATAATTATGACAGTGCTGTTGAATAATATAATGGTAGCACCCAACTCTAGTGTAGTTTGTTCTGACCTGTCTTGTCTTTTCTTTTCTTTCTTTTTTTTTTTTTTTTTTTTGGTACTAGGGATTAAACTCGGAGGTATCTAACTACTGAGCTACATCCCCAGTCCTTTTTATTTTTTATTTTAAGGCCAGTGTCTCACTAAGTTGCTGAGGCTGGCCTCGAACTTGGAATCCTCCAGCTCAGCTCCTAAGTTTTTGGGATTACAGGCGGGAACCACTGCACCTGGGAGCAAAATACTTGGAAGACTGTATTATTACACTGTATTATTTGTGACTTTCTTTTCTTTTGGGCAATGAACAGAATCCTGTCTTACACTAGGTAACTAGCATGAAGTCTAGGCTCTTTAGACAAAAGTAAATTAAAAAAAATATTTATTTTTTAGTTGTAATTGGACATAATACCTTCATTTTATCTATTTATTTTTATGTGGTACTGAGGATTGAACCCAGGACCCTGCACATGCTAAGCGAGCGCTGTACTTCTGAGCTGTAACCCCAGCCCTAGACAAAAATAAATGTTACTGAGAATTTTTATTTATATATTTTCCTAGCCACTAGACTAAGAGAAAAACAGTGAAAAATTTAAAAGCCGATCTTATGTGAGTATTCAGGAATACCTGGAATTATTTTTTAGAAATTGTACTATAAAGTGAAGAGAAACATAGGTTGGCTCACTTAATATTGCAGCCACAGATTGGTTTTTGAATTAAATTTATCTGCCTGTATTAATTTATTTATTTTGGCACTGGGGATTGAACCCAGGGACGCTCAACCACTGAACCACATTCCCAGCCCTTTTTTTAAAACATTTTTTTACTTATTGATAGACCTTCATTCATTCATTCATTCATTCATATGTGGTGCTGAGAATCTAACCCGGTGCCTCACACATGCCAGGCAAGTGTACTTCCAGTGAGTCCCAGCCCCAGCACCCCTCTCCAGTCTTTTAAAAATTTTATTTAGAGAAAAGGTCTTGCTGAGTTACTTGCTAAATTGCTGGGGTTGGTTTTGAATTCACCATCTTCCTGCCTCAGCCTCCCAAGCTGATGGGATTACTGGCATGGTGCCCAGCGTTTTTGAATTTAATTTAAAAATCGTAAGGAAAAAAATTCCTGCAAGGAAGGTGCCAGAAGTGGGCAGGGGATAAGAAACAGAATTATTTCCCCAACTATGCTGCCCTCTAGAGGCTGAAGCACCTTGTCCTGAGGAAGACTGCTATGTATAGAGAGGATAAAAGCTGACACCTAAGGAAGGATACTACCTAACAGTAGAAGTCCTGGGCATGGGAAAATGAAACCACTTGGACACAGTAACTTCCTCATCTGGTTTAGGGATTTAGAATGGGGTGCGTAATGATATATTGAGAGGTGTGGGGTGTGGTTCTGATACCATATCAGGACAGTGTTGAAATGTACAGACTTATTGACATCCTTTACCTCTTTGCTTGGAGTGTTGTGGGGCCTTCCACCTGCCTAACCACCTGGTGGTTCTCATCCATATGTACTTGAGAGTACCTGAGGAGTTACTTAAAAATAAAGTTCTTGGGGTTGGGATTGTGGATCAGCGGTAGAGCACTCTCCTTGCATGTGCGGGACCTGGGTTCAATCCCCAGCACCACGTAAAAATAAATAAGTGAAATAAAGGTATTGTGCCCAACTACAACTCAAAAATAAACATTTGAAAAATAAAAATAAAGTTCTTTAGGTGAATCTAATAGTCATGGTGGGTTAACAGCCACTGACTTCATATATCTTGTTCTTAACTTACCAAGCCAGACTCCCATCAGATAAAATTTTTTTCTTCTAGTACTAGGAATTAACCCAGGGATGCTCTGCCATTGAGCTACATCCCTAGCTCTTTTTATTTCAGTTTTCATTTTGAAAAAAGGTCTCACTGACTTGCCAAAGCTGGCCTCAGACTTGCAGTACTCCTGCCTCAGCCTCCTGGAAGGAGTGGGCACTGTGTCTTTCTTAATCAGATAAATTTATAAATTCATGAACACATCATGGTTGTTTACCCTTCTGCTGCGTCGGGACCTCTTCCTTGTTTTCATTATTTAAGCTCCACGCATATACTTTTTTTTTTTTTTTTAATATTTATTTTTTAGTTATTCGGCAGACCCAACATCTTTGTTTGTATGTGGTGCTGAGGATCGAACCTGGGCCGCACGCATGCCAGGTGAGCACGCTACCGCTTGAGCCACATCCCCAGCCCATCTATGCATATACTTCTACTTCCAAAGTATATTTATCACATCCATGTGCTTCTTGCTGTCTCTGTTATCACTAAGAACACCCCAAGGAGGCAGTACTGCAAAATGCAAAGGCTTTGGAATCATGTAGAAAGGTTCAAGTCAACATCTCAGACTCAGTTTGTTCATCTCTAAAATGCCCTTAGAACTCCCCCCCCTCCATGTAAGCAGCAAAGAGGTGTTTATTGCGAGCTAGCTCCGACCTCCACGCCCACGCAGCAACAGGTGACGCTGAGAGGCCCCGAGCCCAGGGTTTGCAGCAGTTTTATACATTCTTTGGAGAAGGCAGGGACTCCCGCATACATCATAGCATCTCTTAGCAAATCATCACACACCACGGGAAAATAAAATAACAACTCTAAAACATGATTAGTGTATCAGGTGGCGGGAAAGAATCTGGAAAGACGGCTGGGGATGTGGCTCAAGCGGTAGCGCGCTTGCCTGGCATGCGTGCAGTCCGGGTTCGATCCTCAGCACCACATACAAACAAAGATGTTGTGTCCGCCGAAAACTAAAAAATAAATATTAAAATTCTCTCTCTCTCTAAAAACTAAAAAGAATCTGAAAAGAATTATTGGTTAGTTTAAGGGGTTGACAGAACTTTTTATTTAGTTTATAAGATTGATAAGCATCTGATGAGAGTATCTGCTCAGTACCATGAAGTCTGCTAGGTGCTGGCAAGAGAAAAATGCTCACAGTTTAATTCTCATTCTCAATTTTTTTTCAAAAAACCTGGACTTAGATGGTAGTAGTAGGACATGAAAGGTCTCCTGGAGTTCCAATCTAAGTTTTAAAGAACAAGGAAGCGGTTTATCAAGTTGATGGGTTTTTAGGCAGAGAACATTAAAGTGGCATAGAAGTGTCTGACAGCATCTTAGAAATGGAATATAACAAGCATTTTGGTGTTTTTAGAGTACAAGATCCAAAGTGGTAGCAAGCAGGGGCAGATCACATGTAAAGTTCATGTCAGAAAGTCCTGCTGGGAAGCCCAACTCAAACTTTTACTCAGTTCCCCAGGTGCTGTGGATTCATTAGCTTCAGATGTAAAGAGAACTTAACCTGGTTGGCTTTAGGCTTCGTCACAAATAAAAATACAAATACTTTTTTTGGGGGGGTGGGTACCGGGGATTGAACATGGGGGCATTAGACCACTGAGCCACATCCCCAGCCCTGTTTTGTATTTTATTTAGAGAGAGGGTCTCACTGAGTTGCTGGCTTTTTTTTTTTTTTTTAAATAAACACAATACCTTTATTTTATTTAATTGTTTTTAAGTGGTGCTGAGAATTGAACCCAGTGCCTCACACATGCTAGGCAAGTGCTCTACCACTGAGCTACAACCCCAGCCCGAGTTTCTGGCTTTGAACTGGAAATCCTCCTGCCTCAGCCTCCCAAGCCTTTGGGATTACAGGCATGCGCCATCACACTTGGCAAAATAGACATTATTCAGGTAGATCACTAATTTAGATCTAGAACAATCTGGGTAGAACTATGATTAGCACAGGGTACAGGGAAGATAACTTACAAGGCTTTTTTAGTAGTGTAGGTGAGAGGCACAAGGGATTTGAGTAAAGACCTTGATAATAGAGATAATAGAGATGGTTTATGGAACTATATACAGAGTGAAAAGATGAATGGTTTTGAGATGAAAACTTAGGGGCAAATAGGGACAGGAAAAAAAGGGAAGGAAGAAGAGGGTCTGAGAGGACAGGGGACAAGTAGAAAGTTGCAAGCAAGTTGTGTTCTTTGGACTGACAGTAATAATGACTGGCACTGATGGAGGAATTAATGAGTTTTATGTTTTTTTATTAACATCTTCATTTTACTTGTGAATCTCACATACTTTTCTCAAGGTCATACAGTAAGTTGTTGAACCAGGATTTGAATTAAAGGTTTTAACGCAACCTGAATTATTCCAGAGTCTTTGCTCTTAACCACTGTGATATCTAGTCTCTCAGTATAGAGATCTCTGAAGAAAGAGGAGGGGATGGGTCAAAGATACTGTTAGAGGGTTGATCTGGAGTGGGAGGAGGGCCAGTTCATTTTCTTGGAGGAAAGACAGTAAGGAAGTGTGTGTACCTGGATACTTAGTAGGAGGAGATGAAGGGAGATTACTTCTTTTGAACCTAGTCTCAATGAAGGTGGCGAAGTCATTTGCAGAGATTAAGAGTTCAGTTAGATGTTTGTGGTGTGTGAAAAAATGCTTTGTGAGCTGTATGGAATCTGTAATCCCTCTGGCTATCAGGGAGTTACAGTATCCTATATTTGAAGCTCTACTGTGCTGACATCCAGCCGTATGGTAAAATTCCTCTGCTCTAGTCCCCACTCATCTTTCCTCCTGAGTTTGAATTGAATTTAAAAGTTCATTTTAAGTATTCTTAATTGTGTCTGGTTTTTGCATTGTTTTTAAATCCTTTGTAGACAGGGACTGCATCCTTTAAACTACCTAATGTTTCCATGAATGCTTAAGGTTGGGCACATGATAGGTACTTAGTCAATTCTTACCATTGGTAATTGTTACAGTGGTTATAAATTTAAGCAGGTTTAAGTGGAAAAAAGCATGGAGTTCCTGAGTGAATTTCCCTTATGAACACAAGGGGGTGCTATTTAACCATCAATGACCAATTAAAAACCATTAAAATGTCCTGTTTAAATCTCGGAAGGAGTCCCAGTGATGAGTTGCCATGCTAATACTAAGCCACCAGGTAGGGCAGTATTGCCCTGGTCTGGGTGCCAATGAATTTAACAAAACTTCTCAAATGGAGACCTGAGGGACATGTTAAAAAAAATATTAAAAAATATAAAAAGAAAAATAATTTCAGAAGGAATTAAGAGTAGGGACTCTGCATTATGCTGATTATTATAGGAGCCGTACAATTTGATGGTAAGTATTTTAGCTGTTGTCTTAAATCAGTTCACTGTCTTTGAGATTTGTTTTCAAGGAAAATTCAAGCATTAAGAAAAAATATTTATTCCCAGGTATCTCCAGAAGATCCCAGAGCTCAATTCCTGATTCGTACTGGGTCTGTTGGCCGAAATAGGGCTGAAGCCTCTTTGGAGCGAGCCCAGAATCTCAACCCCATGGTGGATGTGAAGGTGGACACTGAGGATATAGAGAAGAAACCTGAGTCATTTTTCACTCAGTTTGATGCTGTAAGTTTCTTAGTGTAAAGCCTGTGGGAATTAAGCAAATTTAAGCACTATTTACAGGTATTCTAGAGCGTTTGAATCTCAAATTCTGAGCTTTTTCCCAAGTAAATTTATAAGCTGTTCTGTTGTTTAAGCTTAGTACCTTTCACGAGTGTGTTGCCAGTAGGTCCAATCTGTTGGACCTGCTGTGGCTGTTTGTGACGTTGCCGTCTGCTGGCTTCTCTGGGCATGTGTTTCCCTAGACCAGATTTCAGGATTGGTGTTCTGTCTTCTTTCTAGAATCTGCGTGTATCACAAATATTTGCCCCTGAAAACTTAACAAGTTGTTGATTAATTTCTGTGGCATTTTATTGTTAGAAATACCAAACTGTAGCTTGTGTTTTGTCTTAGGAAAGAATACACCTGATCTTGATCTTGGTTTATGTCTGTCTTTTTTTTTTGCTCATGGATATCTAGACAAAATCACCATAGTCATAAGCCAAATGAATCCTATCCAGCCTCATCTGCTTTCACTGCTGAATCTATCTATGCAGATGCAAGAGGATAAGTTAAAATCTATGTCGGGACTTTCAGACATAGTTCCGTGTACCTTGGGAAAACTTAACAATTCCAGGTAACCGAAATGATTACCTTACATAAAAGGTTAGAATTTGGCCTGGGTAGTTTGTTTTCCACACTGCTATATTTTATAGCTTGCATATATCTGTTCAGACATGGGCTCAGAATGTTGGATCATCTGTGCATTTGTCTTTTTTCCTTTTTTACCAATTCCTTCTATTTTGTAGTCGTAGGTAATATGATATCTTCCATTTGGACATAAGTCTTTTTAAAATTTTCTTATCCATAGTTCAGATTCGGTTTATTTCAGTTATCCCATAAACTTGTAGATGTAGAGAGATTTTTTTTTTTTTTTAGAACAGACGCATGAGGCCAGTGCTGTGTACCTGCACAGGGAGAGTGATTGTCTCTTTGGGCCTTGTTTGGCTGCTCCTGGCAGGGGTTGTAGTCACTTTTGACTCTGCAGGGTTCCGTTTAATCAATTGCTTGTGTGTGTCCTCTGTGGCTTTCTTACCTTTCAGATGTGATTTTTTTTTTTCCCTTGGATAACTACATCTTTTGAAACACCAAAGGAACACATTTCTCTGAGCATTATTTCAGTTTCCAAGCAAAGAGTGTCTGTCAACTGAAAATGGCCTTGTGTTCAGGAGAAAGCATGTGCGATTTGGAAGTTGTCTTTTGATGGTGATCACAGAGCTTCTCCTGAAAAGATAGAGTTTTGTGCAGTAGAACTTGGCCCATTTCCAATACCTATTTATTGGAAAACAACCCAGAGGATGCAGAGCACCGGTTTACTGCCTTAAGTCAGAGAAGGTCACTTGGTCTGTAACCTTTTCTTTTATCGTTACTTTCTGATAAAGTTTCTCCCAGCAAACTGTGGACAAATAATTCCAATGGGACTTGTTTATCTTTGTCTTAAAATATCAATCAAAAAAGGAAGCTGGAGGAGTCAACTTTAGCAAGATCTTGTCTCAAAATAAAAAAAGGTTTGGGGAGGTAGTTCAGAGACGAGTGCCCTGGGTTCTATCCCCATGGTGGGGGAAAAGTAAAAAAAGAAAAGAGACAAAAACCCGCGTATTTGAAAATAACCTCTGGATCAATTAAAAAAATTAGTTTTGGGTCTGGGATCGTAGCTTCCATGGTTCTCTAGCATGCGTGAGGCACTGGGTTTGAACCCTAGCACCACGTAAAAATAAAGGCACACTGTCTGTTTACAGCTATGAAAAAATTAGTTGTATTTCTTTAAATGTTTATCTATTTATTTATTTATAGTTGTAGTTGGACACAATGCCTTTATTTTATTTATTTATTTTTATGTGGTGCTGAGGATCGAACCCAGGGCCTCGAAACATGCTAGACGAGTGCTCTACCGCTGAGCCACAACCCCAGCCCAGTTTTTCTTTTATCACATATTTAGATTTTAATAGATTTAGCTAATGGTTTAGAAATAACTTGGTAATTATCACTGTCTTTTTCATGAAAACAATGAAATGTGTTTTTTTTTATGTTTGTGGATTAGGGGAAGCATTCCTTTTTCTTTTTCTTTTTCTTTTTTTTTGGCAGTGCTGGGGATTGAACCCAACATCCCTGTGCATCGAGGCAAGCACTCTACCAACTGAGCTATATCCCCGAGTCCAGGGCAGATGTTTCCTAAATGGTTTTTCCTTTCTAGCTAAACACATTTCTTTTTGGTCATATAAAGTGACCATCACATAACTTACATTTTCTTTTTTTTTTTAGTTGTTGATAGTCCTTTATTTATTTCACGTGTTGCTGAGAATTGAACCCAGTGCCTCACACATGCCAGGCAAGTGTGCTAGATGCTGAGCCCCAGCCCACATAACTTACATTTTCTATGCACTAAAACCTGCAGCTTCTCTTTTATATTCTAACCGTAGCACTCAAAGAACCTGTTGTACCAGTTTGAAACTGGCTTCAAACATGTCCTGAAAGACTGTTCATTAAGATTTATGTAGACATCAGGGCAATGAGTCACAGTTTGCGAAACTCACACCCAGACTTTCTTTTTGCAGGTATGCTTAACTTGCTGCTCTAGGGATGTCATAGTTAAAGTTGACCAGATCTGCCACAAAAACAGCATCAAGTTCTTCACAGGAGATGTTTTTGGCTACCATGGATATACATTTGCCAATCTTGGAGAGCATGAATTTGTAGAGTAAGTGTTGGAACAGAAAGAGAAAAAAAGGTATTCTCAAAATTTAGTTTTATATACTGGTAGGAAAAAAGGAATGTAAGGGAAGTATTTTACTGTTACCACTCAAAATAGTCTGAAAGCAAGCCATTAACAATTATTAATGAACACAGTTGATTGTGAGTTCAAAATTAGAGGAGATACAGCCTCCGCACTCCAAAATGGTCTAATTTTAAAGCCTAAAGCAAGCAGAGTTCTGTGATAAGTACACCACTGGGTATTTGATTAGTCCAGACTTTGTGTTGAACCCACATTTTCTGCATAGGGAAGGCTTGCTTGGATTGTAAACATTTGTACCCTAAACTGAGTACACATAGTTAGATGGGTTCTCTTGGAGGCATATTCAGCCAAAGTCTACCTTGGAAAAGCTCCAAGGTCCAGAGACAACTCTGGTGGAAAAAACAGACCTTATCCCTTATTTTGAACATTGAGGCTGCATATTTTGGTAATTCTCACATGGTAGGATCTGCAACATTTTGAGTTTGTAGCTCTGGATGAAAGATGGCAGATGATATACAGTATTGTAAAAAACTGAGTTGGGTTTTTTGGACTAGTTACACACACACACACACATACACGTACATCTGTGTGGCTTATTTGGTACATAGGCCACAAATTTTAACCACTTTCCCTTCCTCCCTTGCCAACTCCCTAAAGAGAGGCCCTGTGGGGTGGAGCTTCCTAGCAAGAGCCCAAGAACTGCTCTCTTTTGTTCAGCCTGTCAGGCAGGTTGCTAAACCTTCTCTGGTACGCAGATTTCTGGCCTATAAAATCCAAGTAGGGGAAAGACCAACACTCAAGATATCTCTAGCATTATATGATTTTAGGAATATACTTTGGCTGGGGATGGTGCTCAGTGGTAGAACACTTAACCTACCTACGTTTTCAAGGTTTTGGGTTCACTCTCCACTGGGGGGAAAAAAGGAAAGAAGAATAGAAAAAAGAGCCAGGTGCGGTGGTGCATGGCTATAATCCCAGGATCTTGGGAGGCTGAGGCAGGAGGATTGCGAGTTCAAAGCCAGCCTCAGCAAATCAAGGCACTAAGCAACTCAGTGGCTCAGTGGTTGAGTGCCCCTGAGTTCAAACCCCAGTCACTAGATACGTGTATGTGCAAGTATGCATACACACGTGCATCTATCATGTACGTTTTATGTGGGAGTGGACATGCTGGGGATAGAACCCTAGGCCTGTACATGCAAGGCCAATGCTTCATAGCTTGAGCTACATCTCCAGTCTAGGAGGATACTTTTATGTGGTTTATGTTAGGAGCAAAAAAAAAAAAAAGAAAAAGGAAAAAAAACTATCTAGTTCCTTGGGTAGGTGTGTAATAAGTGGATAACGTCATAGTAGTGAAAAGCAGGTCACGAATCACTTTGACTTATTGGGAGCTTGTATGTTTTGGGCAGTGTGCTGAACAATTTATGCTATTTCTCTTCTCACGGTTGTGGTGTCAGGGATTGCTGTTCCTACAGAGTGGGTTATCAGATAAATAAGTGGCAGAACTGAGATTTGAACCCTGGCCTGTCTGACCCCAAAGCTTTTGCTGTTACATACTCTGCGAACTGGTAACATTTTTTATTTTACTGACATGATTCACAGGGTAGACTCCCTTTGTCACCCTCTAGGGAGAAAACCAAAGTTGCCAAAGTTAGCCAAGGAGTAGAAGATGGACCTGATACCAAGAGAGCAAAACTTGATTCATCTGAGACAACTATGGTCAAAAAGGTACTTATAATGTGGGGGAGCAGAGGTTAGAGGCCATGGGGACTTCTAGAGGATCCGATGGGCCTTTTTACATTTGTAAATGAGAGAAATAAGCTCGGTTGAGCAGTCTTAAGGGGAAAGCCCATGCTTACTTACCCTTACACCATGTAATGGGATATGCTGCTGCTTAGTGCCAGATGGCTGTTGCCATGAGGAAATGTGGGTCCAGTTCCAGAGGTGAATGTTTTCCCCTCAGTACTGGGCATTGAACTCAAGGGTGCTATACCACTTGAGCTCTGTCCCCAGCCCTTTAAAAAAAAAAAAATTATGTATTTTTGGTTTTAGGTGGATACATTACTTTGTTTCTATGTGGTGCTGAGGATCAAATCCAGTGCCTCATGCATGCTTAGGGGAGCGCTCTACCACTGAGCCACAACCCCATCCCTGTCCCCAGCCCTTTTATTTTTTATTTTAACACAGTGATTCACCAGGGTGCTGGTTCAGCCTGAGCTTGTGAACCTTTTGCTACAGCCTCCTAGTAACTGGGATTACAGGTGTTCACTACCATGAAAAACCATGAAAAAAAAAAAAAAAAGATCTAGTGATGTGACTGTGTGATTAAGAACTCCTGGGTTCAGGGCTGGGATTGTGGCTCAGGGGTAGAGCACAGGCGGGACCCGGGTTCAATCCTCAGCACTACATAAAAATAAAGGCATTGTGTTGTGTCCATCTACACCTAAAAAATAAATGTTTAAAAAAAAAAAAAAAAAAACTCCTGGGTTCAGTACCTGGTACTTAAAAAAAAAAAAAAAAAAAGTCAGAAATAGATTTTTGTATAGGGTACATACTCAATCTGCTTTGAATGCTATTCTGGTAAATACCATGGAGGTCAAACAACATGTCTGTGTGGCTTATTTGGTACATAGGCCACAGATTTTAACCTCTGATATATGGTTTTGAGCAGGAGCCATTACTTTTATACAAAAAAATTTTCTTTTCTACTGACCTATAGCCCCATTTTTTCCCCCCTAAATTTTGAGACAGAGCCTCCCTACGTTGCCCAGGCTGCCTCAGTCATCCCAATAGCTAGGATCAAAGGTGTGCCACCACCATGCTTGGCTGGCTTTTTTTTTTTTTTTTTTAAGTATTTATTTTTTTAGGTGTATTTGGACATAGTATCTTATTTATTTATTCTTAATTGTAGTTGGACACAATACCTTTATTTCACTTATTTATTTTTATGTAGTGCTGAGGATCGAACCTAGGGTCCTGTATGTGCGAGGCAAGCCCTCTACTACTAAGCCACAACCCGGCCCCAATCTTTATTTTATTTATTTATTTTTATGTGGTGCTGAAGATGCCTCATATGTGCTAGGCAAGTACTCTACCGCTGAGCCACAATCCTAACCCCTTGGCTGTTTTTTTTTTTTTTTTTAAGTTTTTTTTTCTCTCTTCTTTCGCCAAAAACCTTTAATAAGAAAAACATTTAGTGTTGACAGATGTTATCAGTTGTATAGATATATATGTGTGCAAATATGCATATAACGTGCATTTATCATGTATGTTGTATGTGGGGATGGACATGCTGGGGATAGAACCTGGGGCCTGTGCGCATGCAAGGCCAATGCTTCATCACTGAGCTACATCTCCCGTCTAGGAGGATACTTTTATGTGGTTTATGTTAGGAGCATAGCCTATGTTTGGATTTGGTGCAATAATTAGATTCCTTTTATTGAAAGGAATAGGAAAGAGATCAGAAGTCAATGGTTTCCGTAACTTGTGCTGGAATTTAAGAATAACAAGGGTATCATGGGATGGGGAGAGTGATTTGAAGTGGTTTTGTTGGAGTGAGAGGAAAGATATGACCAAGCCCATATTTACTCTGCTTTGTAGATTTAAATGTTGAGAAAGAAAAAACAGCTGGTCAGAATGTCAAGTTAAAATTGCTCTAAAGGGGGGGATTCTAAAGAGTGCAGAAACCACAAAAGAGACTGCAGAAAACCGCAGAAGTGGAACTCTTAGAGGCTTCAGCAAGGCAGCGCTGGAGATTTTCTTTCTTTTGCTTTTTGTGTTTGTATTGGAATAGCTTGATGCTGTGCTTGTGATACAGAGGAATTATTAAGCCCTAATTTTAGTGTCTATTCACAGGACCATAATTATCCAAAGTGAACATTGGTGTTTTGGCCAAAGCTTGAGTCCTTTTCTTTCTTTTTTTTTTTAAGACCCAGTCAAGCTTTATCTGCATAGCTCTAGGAGTTTGGTGGGGGAGATAAATTGTTAACACACTGAGGACTACAAAAGCAGCTTTGTGGGTGCTGTCAGTTTATAAATCACACCCTCTTACAAGTGAGACACTTGGCCTTGGTGTGAAAGGTTTAATGGCTTAAGGGCCTTCTCTGATTGAGGCGTGTCTTTTACATTCAGATGGAGAGAGCCTTTGCTTTGTTCGTCATTCACAGCTGGAAGTTTCCCTGGAGTCAGTTCTGATGGTGCCCACTGGTGTGGATCTGGAAACCTCTTTTGGGAGCCACTTTATCTCACTATGAGGAGAATGTGGGCAGCCTGTGCTTTCACTGGGGCCTTGGTGCACCATTCCTTAGCACTCCATGGTCAGAGCTTTTTGTGAAGCCTCTTCCTATGTGGGGTCAAATTTGAAGGTATGAAAATATTCCCCAGCTGACATTGTTAGTCAGCTGTTACACTTGGACAATTCAGGCTTAAATTCCAACCAAGAGCCCCTTAAGGTTGCAGGGCATTCAGTGCATTCCTGATGACAATCCCTGGGATTCCAAATCTTTTCTTGGTGAGGCTTCACCAAGAGTGTTCTTCAAAGGCTGGGTTGAATTGGGTTTTGGCCTTTCCACCTTATAATGACATGCCTCCTTTATTTTGGCAGAGATACTTTTGTGATTTTGAAGTACTCTTCGTAGTAAAAAATTCCTTGATTGAAATTCTACCCTTTTGCCTAAATTGTACAGAATAACTAGTTGGGTTATGCTCTGAGAATGCAGGATGGGGGTGGGGAAGCCACTACTTCCTGTTTCCTGTGAAAGGTTTCTGGTTAGAGTTCCCTTCCCCTCACCCCTTTTCCTAAGTTCAACCAAATGTTGTAAAGCCACTTTTGCTTCAAGGTACACCTTGTGCTCCTAAATTAGAAACTTAAAAAACAAAGAGGAAAAACAGTTTGTGGTTTTCTCACCACCTAGGAAGATACTGGGCCTTTCTAGCACCTGTGCCATCATGATAAATAAGGCAGTAGGAAAATGCCTGGCCTGTTGAGGTGATCAGTTTGTTTGCTTCCTTTAGGGTGCAGAAGTCACAAGACAGATTTCATCAGAATTAGGTGGTTGTCACAGGCCTGATATAGACAGTGATGTGCAGGAGATAAAGGAGAGAGTAAAGATGTGGTGGTGAGGAAGTGTCTGAAAAGGTTTCCCAGGGGAGTGTTTGAGTCAGCTTGTGAAGGACAAGTTTGCCAAGCATCAGAGCCTGGACTAGTATGCAGTCAAAGGAAATGAGATAAAAAAAATGACAGATGTAGGGGCAGAGTCACACTGGCTTTCCCCACTCCAAGACAGCCAGTTCTTTCTGTGAGTTAAACAATGTCTGTTGCATGTAAGGCACTATATGGGTGCAGAAGCACAGTCCTGTTCTATCAGCCTACAGCTGATGGAGAAGCCAGAAATGGCCTGACCTGATACCTCAGCTGCAGAGGGAGGAAGAGATGGTAGAGAGCATAGACAGTGATCTGAGGGCACAGGCTGACAATTTTTAGGAAAACTGAAGTTTTATGAAGAGATAGGATAAAATATGTAAAAATTGACAACATTCTGAAAAAAAATTCAGATTAAAAGGCCACTGTCCCACCTGTGTTGTTCACGTTTTGTTTTTTGAGTTGTTTGGGGCTTCTGGAGATGAGTTGTCTGCTCTTAAAATAGTAGGTGACTAATTTGGGCACTGTTAATACTCCTCATGAATTAGTTGAGTAATTTCACAGTTGAGGATTGATTCTAATTTATTTTTTAAATATTTGTTTATTTTTAGGTGTAGATGGACACAACACAATGCCTTTATTTTTTTTATGTGGTGCTGAGGATTGAACCGGTCCGGTGCCCCCCCAATCCCGCCCGTGCTAGGCTAAGGCGAGCCAGCGCTTTACCCCTGAGCCACAATCCCAGCCCTCTAATTTATTTGTTTATTTATTTAGAGCAGTATTTAGGAATGAGGCCAGGAGATTACTACTTATGAGCTATATCCCTACCCTTTTTTCTTAAATTTTGTCTTCAGATAGGGTCTTGCTAAGTTATGCAGATTAGCCTTGAATTTGCAATCCTTGTCTCAGCCTTCGGAGTAGCTTTAACCAGCAAAAAAACAAGCATTTCTGTGTCTTCCTTTTGTTGGGGGAGGTAAAGAGAGGGTACTAGGGATATAGTCCAGGGACAGTTTACCAATGAGCTACTATTTATTTATCTATGAGCCCTATTTATTTATTTATTTATTGGTACCAGGGATTGAACCTAGGAGCACCTAACCACTGACCCACATCCTTTTTATTTTTTATTTTGAGACAGGGTCTCACTATGTTGCTGAGGCTGACCTTGAACTTTTTTTCTTTTTAAATTTTTTTTGTTTGTTCTTTTTAGTTATGTGTAACAGTAGAATGTATTTTGACATTTTATGTATACATGGAGTATGACTTCCCATTCTTGTGGTTGTACATAATACGGAGTTACAATGATTGTGTATTTGTATTCGAACATAGAAAAGTTATGTCTGATTCATTCTACTGTCTTTCCTATTCCCATCCTCCCTCTCTTCATTCCCCTTTGTCTAATCCAATGAACTTCTATCCACTCCACTTATTGTGTGTTAGCATAGCATATCAGAATGGTCAGCCTTTGGGTTTTTTTGAGATTGGTTATTTCACTTAGCCTGATAGTCTCCAGTTCATCTATGGCCTTGAACTTTGGATCCTCCTATCTTAGCCTCCAGAGCTGCTGGGATTGCAGGTGTGTGCCACA